CCAGCCAAGATCCCTAACTGTCCAGCCTCTCTGTGTTGTCTTTTTATTTTCTCCTTAGATAGTCTTTCTCTTCATTTCTGTCTAGGACTCTGTATCTTAAGCTGTGGTGTCATTTTTGTTTTGTTTCTGTTTTTTAAATTAAGTCTCTCGTTGAGCCCTTGTGATGAATATATTAAATAAATACATTGGGTTTGTTTGTTTTTTTTTTTTAAAGAGGGAGATGGAGGAAGGTTTCTGTGTGGGGTGGCTGGCTGGGTGAAGAGTGCCAGGTTTAAAGGCAGGAGAAAACAGCCTACTTTGGGACACGTTGTGTTTGCAATGTAGGATGACAAGATGGAGATGTTCAATAAACTGTTGCTTAGATGGGTCTGTTGCTATGGGATGAGGTCAAGGCTGGAGACACAGCGTTAGGATTTGTCATCCCAGAGGTAGAGGTTGAAGCCAGGGGTGTGGCTGAGATCTCCCAGGGGGGGTTGTGCGGGATGAAGAGAGGAAGGCCGAAGACCAGTCGCCTACCTTCGGGGAACGAGCAGAGGAAGACGAACGAGAGACAACATTGCTTCCCTGTGAAATGCTGGCAGGGGCTGTGAAGCGTGAGTCAGGCCCTTTGAGCCCCAAGCAGCAGCCTGGGGTCAGTCTCACCAGCCACAATTTTCTCATGAATGAACTTGCATCACTAACCTCAAAACTGCATTGTGAAATCCGCATCAGATTGCGTACCACTGGCAGCATCCTGGGGACAATGGGACTTGTAGCATCTTGGGCCTGGGAGTCCCGTCCACCTCCACCACATCTCTGCCAATCAGTTAGTTATCCAGCACCCCAGGCAAGGAACTCATAACTTCCCACGGCAGCCATTCCACCACTGAGCAAGTGAGAATATCAGAAAACCTTTTCTTACAAATGCGGTCTCACCAGGTTCAAGTTAAAGGAAAACAATAAAGCTATACTCCAGTGGCAATGACCCTGGGAAGAGTAAGATTCAAAAGGACTCTGTATTCTGGAAAATCTGTTTCTATTAATGTATCCACCGGCATCTTCCTGCTGGGGTTAGGGTCATGGCGTTTGACTCCCCCCAGGAAGCTACAGTGATTTCACTACCATTTGCACACTGGATGGGAATGTGCTCATCCGCTTCAGGCATTCTTCTGGCTTCATCAAGCAGTGAGTACTGCCCTGGAATTTGGCCAGTCTCTCAGGACTCAAGCAGTGCATGCCACAGCACAGATCCACCGGGCTGGACACGCGGGAAGAATGTGCGGCTGCTAGCTGAGAGCGAGCCCACTGCAACAAGGTGGGCACTATGCCATTCTGTTCAACAGTTTTTTCTAAATATTTATCTGCACCCGGCCCTGTGTGGGTCTCTGGAGAAGACAAAGGAAGAGAGATATGGTTAAGAAATGGCTCTCGTCCTTGGGGAAACTGGTGGGAGAAACAGACATGCAAGAGGGAAAGGTGGATGAACTTTTTTTTGCTTTTGCTTTATTTTTATAAGTTGCCGAACACCCACCTAAGCAGCCTCTGTATGATCTGAAATATGGAAAAGACATCAAGGAAAACTGCCCTTGAACCTCAATGGAAAGGATCTGTTAAAACACCTGACATAGCATAAAACTCCAATATATGCTTGCCAACTAAAAAAACACACATCACTTTCTCCTGACTACAAGACATCCATTCCACTAGGAGACCTCAGACTGAGGATTCTTAGGAATTTTCCAGAATGTACTGACTTTGGAAATAGATAGCTTCTGTCCAAGATGACAGAATAAGACTAACTTTCTGATTCTACAAAATCCTTTTCCTTTCCCTTTGCCTATTATTATACATTGACACCCTCTCTTTTCTCTGTATGATTTCCATTATCTTCATCCTGTTACTTTTGACCCCCTATGATCATAAGGACTGCCTGGCCTACAGGCATGGAGTCCCACTGAGCATAGCATATGAACAGGGGGATTAACTTCACAGTAAAGGAGGAATGGGAATGAGCCCATGGCCATGGGATGCACTGTTTGATATCACATACTGCACCCGGAGGAGGAAGCCTCATAGAATGCTGAAACCCTTCTAAAGGCAAAAGGTACCATCTCTAAGGCAACACCCTGAAAGGAAGAGTGTCGTCCTTCAGGACATAGTGTATTCATTAAATCAGAGACCGCTCTATGGTGGTGTGCCCCAGTAAGAAGCATAGATGCCCTGGGAACCAAGGGGTGGAAGCAGCAGTGGCCCCACTAACCATCAATCCTAATGACCTACTGTAAGACTCTGTGCATCCCATCCCCACACCTTTGGGGCCTGCCAGGTCACACTTCCTCAATCTCGTACGAATCTGGTCAGTTTATTTTAAGTCTTCAGTTGGGACTTTTTTTCCCCCCAGGTGGACTTGACTGGAACTTACTGTTTGTTGTTGTTTTGTGGGGGTTTTTGTGTGTGTGTGTGTGTGTGTGTGTGTGTGTGTGAGTAAAGCAATAGAAGTTTATTTATTAAGTTAAGATACAGAAAAAGCTCTCAAGAGTGAGACAGGGTTGCGACAGGGTTGCGACAGGGTTGCCAACGAGGGCCTTTAGGGTTGGTCTTTTATAGAAAGCTAACCAGGGAACTTAAATCCTTTTAACATCTCTATTGATAAGACCTTCAATGGCTTACTTCCTTTTTAGGGGATGGTTATTCTTTGTTGGTCACAGGTGATTATCATAAAGACACCCAGCCCACACGACCCACCCTGGGCACCTAAAAAACTTACTGTTTTATGAGGGGCACCTGGCAGTCTCAGTCAGAAGAGTGTGTGGCTCTTGATCTCAGGCTTGTGAGTTTGAGCCCCACATTGGGTGTAGAGGTTACTTAAAAATAAAATCTTAAGAACAGCTGGGTGGCTCATTCGGTTAAGTGTCTGCCTTTCGCTCAGGTCAGGATGCCAGGGTCCTAGGATAGAGTCCTACATCGGGCTCCCTGCTCAGTAGGGAGCCTGCTTCTCCCTCTGCCTGCCACTCCCCCTGCTTGTGCTCTCTTTCTCTCTCAATATGACAAATAAAATCTTTTTTAAAAATAAAATAAAATCTTTAAAAAAGTAAAATAGGGGCACCCGGGTGGCTCAGTCAGTTAAGCGTCTGATTTTGGCTCAGGTCATGATCTCAGGGTCCTGGGATCGAGCCCTACTTCAGGCTCCTTGCTCAGTGGAGAATCTGCTTGTCCCTCCGCTCCTCTTTCTGCTCATGCTCTCTCTCAAATAAAATCTTTAAAAATCATAAAATAAAATATCACTTCACAAAAGAAAATGAACTGATTTGCTCATATTCTTGATTGTGGTGATGGTTTCACTGGTATATATGTATGTGTCATAACTCATCAAGTCGTACATTTTAAATAATTTACCTCAAAAGATCTGTAAAAAGAAAAAAAATGGAATAGTGATGTGAAATACATGACCTCAAAAATATTAAGATTTTAATAGGGATTCTGGTAAAAATATAGAAAGTAGGTAAGAAAAATCAAGAAAACTTCATAGCAGTAAGTATAGGCATGATTCAAAATTAACCAAATATATTTTCATAATAACTCTTAACTACTCTCTTTAAAAGTTGGAATATCTTAAAGGCCTCTCCCAGTCCTCAAGTCGGGATGGGCTTGGGTGTGCAGGCTGGGGCAGGGCCTTGGGAGAGGGGATTGCTCTGTAAAATCAGGGAGAAGAATGACCATGCTGGGCAAAGGGAGGGCACCTGGCAGAGAAGGGAAAGGGACAGGGTGGGATGCTGTGTGGGTGGAGGAGGGAGAGTTGAGAGCCCTTAGGGGCACAGCAACACAAAAGGGACTTTGGGAGGAAAATAATTAATCAGAGAGGATTTTGAAGTTGTTTGCCATGGTGTGTGCCCTGGGCCTCTTTCCCTCGGGTCACTCCTGCACTGTCTTTAGCAAAGGCTGCATTGCTCACTAGGTCTTTTATATGAAAGTGGATTCTTCTGGGGATACTGAAGGGGGTGGGATGAGGTGTATGCCTGTGTTGATGCAAGACAAAAACAGATTATGCAGAGAAGCTGGAGTTGAAGACTCCAGTATGAATCCCTGGAAATGAGCAAAAATCTCCAGGATAACCCTAGGCCTTCAAAGGCTGTGGAACTGGTGGGGTCCAAGCTGAGCCAAAGGATTGTTAATATCTAGGTTCTGGGTGGGAAGACTAGGGAATAGCATGAGGAGCTATATACATCTGACATGATGATAAAGATGGAGCTGGAAAAGAGGCACACGGGGAGATGGGATTAGAAAGGGCTGGAGGGTTAAGGGATCTGCTGGGCTGAGAGGCTAGGAGTTCACCTTAAACTCTTTGTCCCCCCCCAAACCACTATCCTAGAGAAACTGAGAGCCAGCCCCCAGCATGGATTGAGTCTTTTTTTTTTTTTCCTATCCCTCTTCCCACATTTCTAAATCAATTATGTTTGCCCAGAGAGACAAGTGAGATAGAAACTCTCAGGAAAGAGAGAATCACCCTCGTGTGCAGGGCAGGGCTAGAGTAGAGATGAGAGCTTCTATCCAATACCCACAGACCACCTGTCTGGGTGCTGTACAGGGGTTCTGGGGAAAACCCAGTCATGCAATTTAGGGGCCATGGATTGAATTATTCCGAGAGTTCAGAAAACCGGGAGAACAGAGTCCTCAACATTTGTTCACCAGTCACCCTCCCATCTAGGTGTGTTGGCCCGGCCTTTCCTATGTGTTAGGGATAATCTGAGAGTTTCTAATCAGGTGCTAGAGTCCTAGTGCTGTCCTCATGGAGGAGAATCCCACCTTCTGGAGCAAATGCTATTTGAGATTTTGTGCCCTTCCTCAGGAGAGGTCTGCTAATTGAAGAAAATCAACTGAGGACCCTACACAGAAAACCCTTCTGTGAGGTTTTCTAAAAAAAAAAAGAATAGAAAATACTTTCATCCACTTTACAAATGAATAAAAGGGAAGGAATGTAGAGCTCCATTAATGCATTATAGAAAAATTATTCATGAATAATGATCTATCCATGAATAATGCCTAGCGAGGAAAGAGTAAGAATTGAGTCCAAGCCCCTCATTCGTTGCTTTTCTTTCAGCATCAATGCAGAGGGAAGAAGAGGAACAAAGAGGGAGCATTTGCCTGTCATTCCAGAGCTCTCAAGAGTTAAGCTTATCACAGGGGAAGAGAGGAAAAAATAAAACGAGATCAGAGAGGGAGACAAACCATAAGAGACTCTTAATCATAGGAAACAAACTGAGGGTTGCTGGAGGGGAGGGAGGTGGGCGGATGGGGTAACTGGGTGATGGACATTAAGGAGGACACGTGATGTAATGAGCACTGGGTATTATATAAGACTGATATATCACTGACCTCTACCTCTGAAACCACTAATATATGTTGATTGAATTTAAATAAAAATAAATAATTTAAAAAAGAGTTAAGCTTAGTCTCTCCTTTCCATGAGACCCAGGTCTACAGTCTCTGAGGATGTCAGCTGCTAGAGCCCACCCCTCTCTGAAAACAAAGCTCTCAGCAAGGAGACTCAGGAAGGAGTCAGAACCTAGCATGTTTTTGGGTTCTCTGCTAGGCCCGTCCACGGGAATGAAAAATGATGGAGCTGGCCAGTGGGTGTTGCCCACTAGGTGGCGGTGCAGTGGTAGACTATCTGGAGACCCGCCTTTTGGGTCCTGATTTGGGACAAATTGTTTAACTTTCCTAAGGCTCATATTCCTTGTTGAGATTGGCCTGCGTCCCTCACACGTGGTTATGAGGATCTGATGGGATAAAGTAAAAAGCGCTATTCCATACTTGAGCCTGTCAGTTGTTGTCACTGACTGATCTTGTACACGAATGCTTGGGGATCTCAGAGTCCATAGTGTCCCAAAGGACCATTTTACTCAGCGTCCTAGAAGATCCCTTTGCTGTTCCCTTCACCACATGTGACTGAGTCTCCTGGTGTCCCAGGTTGGAGAGCTTGCCAGAAAGGAGCTCATGTGACATGGGACCTGCTAGCTCTTTGGAAAAGCAGGTATTTGTAAGTCTCTTCTTGTTTCCTGTACTTCTATTCCTAGCATGGCCTATGTGATTCCAGGGCCCCACTGCAGCCGAACTTGACATGTGAGGGCAAACTTAGAGGGAGGGAATGTGAAAGAAATTTCTGCATGAGAAATGAAAGAAGTGTCATGAAGTCAGTGATGTAGGGGAATGTGACTCCTGCCAGGCCTGCTGGGTCCCCCATCCCCACTCTGCTCCCGGCTGTAGCTTGTACCTCTTGTCTTGTGCGGCCACCTGGGCTAACTTCTTAATGAGGGCAGCAAGATCCCTGCTGGGAGAGTCGTGACAGAGTGACTGTAGAAGCTGATCTTCTGATGTTTAGGGAGGCTGGGGAAGATGCTGCCCCCTCTGTGTCCCCTTTGTCTTCCACATCTCTGCCTGAGCCCTCCCCTCTCTCAGAGGCCTGTCTCTGGGGGATTCTGCAAGCAGGTGCATTGAGGTGGTAGCCTCTCCCTCAGTCCTGATATCTAAGAGCTCTTGAATACACAAGTCAGAAAAGGAGTGAATTTCCAGATTATGGAGGAGAAAGAATAGGAGGAGGGGTCCTTCCCAAACAATTGAAGCACATCAGTGAGATCTTCTGGAACTACTTTAGTCTCTGGCTGACACATGGGACACTGAAGGCTCCCAACCCTTGTGGAGTAACATAAATAAATGCACAGTCCTCAGTTCCCAAACCCCAAACACTGGAGGAGAGGCAGGAGGCTCTTTGCAGCAGAAATGGAACCAGCTCTCCCAGGGTCTCCCTTCTCTGTACAGAGTCCTTGGGGGCTACTGTCCTGGTCTCTGGACAGGGTTGATCCCCACTAGTGTCTTCCTTTGTCTTATTTAGTGGATTCCCTAATGGGTCCAGTTCATATCCAGGCTAAAGAATCCCCACTGGCCTCAGCCCTTACCCCAGGCGCCCCCTTCAGTTTCTCTCCCACTATCTCAGCCCCAGTTAGGGCCCGTGGAGTGTCCTTTCCTAGACCCCAGGATGAAGTACAGACTCTCACCCAAGGGAAATTCAATCCCTGGATTGGCACTTATTGTAGAAGCAGCTGGAACATTTGTGATGTTTGCCTTCTTTTGTTCCAAAGATCTCAGGAAATCTTTAATTCTCTGGCTCCCAACAGTCCTCAGTATAACAGTACAGGAGACTCTCTGTCTCAAGTATCAGGCTCATCCTTGATGGAGAATTTCCTAGCAAGGAGATCTGGAGGCAGCTGGAGCACCACCTTCAAAGCTTCATCCAGCACTGAGCCCATCTGGCACAGATACAGCCTCACAGCAAACCAGCAGGGACTTCTTGGCCAAAGGGCAAACGTGGATCTTCACAATCCTCTGTCACAAGTGCCAAAGCAGCAGGGAAGGATCTAGACCAGATGACATAGAGGCATCCAGGAAGTTTCCACGTGAGGGGCCTGGCAAAGTGCCAGCTAGGGAATGACCTACAAAGAGTATGGAGCATAGCCCAAGGAAGTGCCCCACCCCCAATCTAGTATTTAGAAAGCTACCCCATGAGGAGCCTAGGGTCTGATTCTAAGGAGAGAGAAAGTGACTTGGTATGCCACTCACGGAATGACTCATCAAAGGGTTCAAGGGAGAACCTAGACCAGATACAACTGGAAAACACCCTAAAGATTCACTTGGACAAAAGGTTGGGTCCATAACTCCAGCAGGAGCCCTTGTAGGTGTGTGTAGTTCATGGCTTGTTGCCAACTGCCCCCTCCTCGAAGTACTATAGTTAATAGGAAACTGGAAATTTGGCACCTTCATGAATCAGGAACACTGTCTGAATACCTCTTGGAAGATTTCCTTCCTTGATCCAGGCATTAGATAAGTACTAGAAGTCCAGGTTATATGGTTTGGGGTACAGCCAAGGTAGAACTTACCTCTCAAGGTCCTTGAATCCATAAAATTGTTACATTGATAGAGACCCAATCATGATTTCTTCCCAGTCCGCTTTTCTCTCCCAGCCACCCATGTTTCAGGGATGGCTAAGCCAAGGTTGCTTATTAGCTCTTTGAAAGAAACCATTCATCACAGGTCTGGAGACAAGCTGATCACAAAAAATGCAGTTCTTACCCTGGATAGTCCTTTCCCTGGCCTTCCAGTGTAAGCAAGGAAACCAGAGGGCCCTGAGATGTTGGTCATGGTTCACACAGGACCCTCAGTCCAAGGAGAAGAGAAGACAAACTTTTGCCCATCATCATGGACAAATCGTGGCACAATGTGACTATATGAAGGACAAGAGAGGCAGTCCAGAGTCACTCCCAGTCAAATGATGGCAGGACATGACCCAAGGGATAAGAGTGGTGTTGTGTACCCACAGACTCCAGCCATGGAGAAGCAGTGCCCCAGAGGCAGAGAACAGAAAGAATGTCTGGAGGGGAGCCCCATAGAAGGGAGCATCTCCTTGGAGTTTCCACTTCAGGAAAAGGATATTGGGAGATTAATTTAGGGATTCCCTCAAGGGTAATATAATCCAGGGAGACAGTGGAAGTCCAAGAAGACTCCAGCTGCTATATCATAACTGGAAGATGTTCTGAGAGTCAGTGAGCTGAGAGATGCTCAGAAATTGAATGTCTGAGTGGCCAAGGGGCTCCAGTGGCCAAGTATTGCCCCCACCCCAAGTGTTGGTTGCCCAAGATCTGGAACAGCCAAGCCTTAAAGAGCAGCTTGCTGATGAACTGAGGTTCATATTGGAGATAGAGATGCAGAGCCAGCATCAGGGTTGTCCCACTGAAGTGCCCCCTGCCTTAGATAGCCTGCCTACTTAATTCCCTTGAATCTATAAATCAATTTGAGGAGAGTTGATATGTTAATGATACTATGTCTTCTGATTCACAAACATTGTAGATATCTCCATTTTTTCAATTTCCCTCAGCAATGTCCTGTAATTTTGTGTACAGACATCATACATATTTTGATAAATTTTATCCCTATTTCATAAGTTTATGTAAATGGCATTTTTATTTGTTCATTACTAATACATAGAGATAAATTTTATTGTTTTTTGACCTTATATTCCATTTCTTTGTTAAACTCACTTATTAGTTCTAGTGGCTTTTGTCAATTTTGAATTTTCTTCATAGATCTGTTATCTGTAAACAGGAAAATTCTATTTCTTTCTTTTCAATCTGTATGCCTTTTCTTTCTTTTTCTTGCCTTACTGCATTAGCTAGTACCTCCAGTACAATATTGAACAGAAGTAGCGTGTGGAGACATCCTTGTCTTGTTCTTGATCTCAGGGTGGAAAGCATTCAGTCTTTCACCATTAAGTATGATGTTGGGTGTAGGTGTTTTGAGAATGCCCTCTATCAGACTGAGGATGTTTCCTTCCATTCCTAGTTTTGAGGGTTCTTTTAAACCAGGAATGGATATTAGATTTGGTCAAGCGCTTTTTCTGCATCTACTGAAATGTTGTTTTTTTTTTTTTTTAAGATTTTATTTATTTGAGAAAGAGACAGAGTGTGCACAAGTGGGGAGAGGGGCAGAGGGAGAGGGAGGAGAAGCAGACTCCCCACTGAGCGGGGTACCCAAAGAGGGGCTGGATCCCAGGACTCTGGGATCATGACCTGAGCCAAGGGCAGATGCTTAACCAACTGAGCCACCCAGGTGCCCCAGTTTTTTTCTTTCTTAGTTTATAAATATGATGACTTACATTGATTTTTTTAAAATGTTAAACCAACCACACATTCCTGGGATAAATCTTACTCAGTCATGATGTATTATCCCTTAATATATTGTTGGATTACATTTCCTAAAATTCTGTTTAAAACTTTTGCAACTATACTCACACAAGAGATATTGGTCTGTAGTTTTCTTTCTTGTAATAGTTTTGTTTGATTTAGGTATCAAGGTAATTTTGGGATCACAAAATGAGTTGAAAAGTATTCCTTTTCATATTTTCAAAGAGTTTGTTTAGAATTCTTTTTTTTCTTCCTAGAAGAACAGTTCTTGATAGAATTCCCCAGTGAAGCCATCTGCATCTGAAGTTTTCTGTGTGAGAAGGTTTTTAAATACAATTTGAATTTGATACAAGGGCTATTCAGGTTATTTATTTAACTAGATTTTGATAATTGGTATCTTTCATATTTTTTTATTCATTTCATCTAAGTTTTAAAATTTATTGGCATAAAGTTGTTCATAATATTCCCTTGAACTATCTGTAGAATCTATAGAGGTGTCACCTCTCATTCCCGATATTTTAATTGGGGTCTTTTTCTAATCAGTCTGGCCAGAAGTTTATCAATTTTATTGATCTGAAAAAACCAGCTTTTGGTTTTAGTGATTTCCTCTATTTTTTGTTTTCTATTTCATTGATTTCTGCTTTGATCTTTATTATTTTCCTCCTGCTGCTTACTTTGGGTTTGATTTGCTCCTTTCTGCTGTCATTTATCAGGATTTTAGCAGGTAGCAGAAACAAATGCGTGGATTCATGCTATGCTTATCCAGAAATCAGAGATGTGATTTGAGAGAAAGAGGTGATGAACTCATGTAGTCTGGTTTTCTGGCTCTTTTTCTTCTTCTTTTTTTAATGGAACTGCCACTTGTAGATTCTCCTAGCTAAAAACTTTGAAGTTAGTATTTAAGAATGTTGGTTCTGCAGTTTGACAGACTCTGGATTTATATCCTAAGGGATTTATATCCTTTCCTAGCTATAAAGTAATTAAATGTCCCTGAGCCTCAGTTTGCTCATATGTACAATGGAAATAATATCATCTTTCCTTACAATGAGTTAACCATGTAAAGCTCCATACCTGACCCATAGAGCTTGACAAACATTAGCTATTATTTACTCTTTCATTATTTTTTATCACAAAAATCTATCCTACCCTAAAGACCACTTCATCATTTAAGGACTTTTTTCATGTTAACCCCCCTGTTAGATAAACCAGATTTCTACTGCTCCCCTCAAGAGTGTGGTAGCTAAATACTAAAAGCTAGCTTTTGCTTTGTAACAAATCACTCTAAAATTAGTGCTTGAAACAAAATTTTTTCCCCTTATGTTTCTATGTATTGGCTGGGCAGTTTTTCTGGTCTAGGAACATTCAGAGCTAGATGATGTAGGTTACCTTCATTTGTATGCATTGTGACTGGTTCAAGGTCAGCTGAGACTCAGCCATTTATCTCTAATTATCCAGTAGGCTAACCCAGGCTTGTTCATGTGGTAGTAGAAGTATTCCCAAGAGGAGGAGAGGGCAAGCTCTGATGACCAAACTTCTCCCACCTTATGAACCAGTGGACATTTTGTGCTTGACTTCCCTAATTTTATGCCAATTGTTTTCCTCTTATAATCATTTGCAAACACTTTATACTCATGTTTTCTGACTATATATGAAAGGTATCTTTGAATGTGACGTTTTATCTTGGCCAAGATAGGATATTAGGCAAATAATTAAGAAAGAAAAATCTCCAGTTCTGATACAAGGGGATGCCTAGATAACCTGCCTAACCCCTCTGGGACTCGGTCCTGCCTTGGCTCTGCCAGTTCTCTCTGACCTCAACTCCTCCCTCAACCTAGGCAAGAGCCTGAGCCTCCGAATCATTTGACAGCCCCACTCCACCCACTACATAGGCTCTGCTCTGCCACCTGCCAACACGCCAACCTACCCTTCCTCCAAGTCTGCCCCACCTCCACCTCAGCACAGCCCCCTTACCCCATGGGCACAGCTGATTCCCCAGCTCCAAGCTTCTCCTTTCTTGCTGAGCTTCCATTCCTCTGGTGGGTAAGGGCCAGCTCTGGAGATGCAGGAACAGCAATCCCCACCAGTCACATAGCCTGTGAGCTTACTAAATAATGCAAGTAGCCAGAGGATTCAGTGGGTGGAGCTGATGAGTGAACGGATCCTACAAGCAGAGACCCATCCCTTAGTCCAGATTGGATGAACTGCGCAGGCTGGGTGAATGCAGGGCTAAGGTGCTCTTCTATGGCTCAGCCCTGTGCCAGCAACACCATCTGAATAGGTGCCTGTTTTCTGCCTGGAGGGACTATGTCTTATCCAAAACCCTCTCTCTGGAAGACAAGAAAACGCCAGTACACCCTCAGGGACAAGCCGTCGAGGCTCAGCCAGTTTACCTGCCTCAAACTGGCTCAGCTCTACAGCTGATGTGTGAGCTGGGTGCTTTCTGGTTTTGTGATCCACATGTGATGCTCCAGAAAAAAGTAAAAATGTCTCTAACTCTATTTATCAGATTTGGGGGGGGGGAGGAGGAGAGGACATATAGTTATGTATTTAGATACATAAATCTAACTTATTTAAGTTAGGACCTTTTACTCTCCTTATGCTCCACATATAAAAATAATGTGTACATGATTAGAAAAAATTCACAACATAATGAAAAAAATAAAGTTCCCTTCCTCAATGAGCCCCCAGAGACCAATCCCCAGAGGCAACCATCGTTAACCATATTTTTATTTATCCTTCCAGAAATTTTCTACATGTGTGTAAACATCGATTTGTATAACCTCATTTTACACAAATGAATAGGATATTTTAAAACATACTTAGTATTTAAGTCATTTATAAGTTTTTCCACATGGCTCTATGACTAGATCCCTTCAAAAACACAGATAGTCCCTGATTTAGAAGCATGTGATAACCCAAAAACTTAATTTATAAAAAAACCTTTCTGAAACTCAAAACACCTTTTCAGGTTGCTCAGGTCATGATCTCAGGGTCCTGGGATCGACCCCTGCATCAGGCTCCCTGCTCCGCAGGAAGCCTGCTTCTCCCTCTCCCACTCCCCCTGCTTATGTTCTCTCTCTCGCTGTCTCTCTCTCTGTCAAAAAAATAAATAAAATCTTAAAAAATAAATAAATAAATAAATAAATAAATAAAAACTGTTAACGTTGAATAAAAAAGCTTTCTATATCTTGAATTTCATGAATTAGTGAAGAATCTGAATAGAATTCTCAAGTGATTTACAAGGCAGCAGAGGTGGGATAACATCATGTTACATCCAATCCCACCTTTTTTGTCAGCACAACATAAACACACCTTGACTCAAATTTGATTGGTTAGTGTGGTGGGAGTTCACTGGGCAAGCGGCTCCCTCCATCAAAAAATAGATCACTGAATTTTTACCTCCTGTGGATACTGAAAAGGCTTTTCTTATGCCTGTTCACAGTCACATGCACTGACCTAAACCTTGAACCCTCTGTGAGCTGCACCTGCTGTAACCTACAAAGGTGGAGAAGGGGCAGGGAGTAGACTAGAGAGAATGCTGGAGAGTCACTTGATGACTACCTATATTAGGAGCCTTATTTTAACAGTAGCAGAAAATCCCTGTCATATTGAGCTTTAACTTTTATGACTTGCCTGTTCTCTGTCATAGAGAATAATTTCATGGCATGACTACACTTTTATCTTCTTATAAAAAAGAAATGCAGAGATTTTCCTGAAGCGTCTGGGCTGAATCAGGAAAGAAGGTCAAAAAGTGTGAGAAAGGGGTTGACCTGCTGATTGTACACACAGGCAAGGAAGGCAGTTCGTGATATATGTGCAATCCTAGAAGGGAAGGCCGGGTGGAAGGAAGATGTTGCCCTGAGCATGTGGCTTCATGTTGACTGGGTCCTTAAGGTGGGGGCACTCTGTGATATCTCCCTAGCAAAGCATCCTATAACTTGCTAAAAGGAGTCCTTTAAAAAAAATTCTGTAATAAACAAAGAAAACAGAAGCTATCCATACCTTGTATTTGAAGGACCCCTTGGTTCCCCTGAGTCTGCTTGTCCAGGCAGGTGAGCCAGAGCACAGTGGCAAAGAAAGGGTATCAATGATGACGGGCACAATTAAAATATTATCTGCATTTGTAGACCACTGAAGAGTTCAGAAAATACTTTCCCAAGTATTATCCTTGTAACAACTCTGTGAGGGCAGGGATTTGGAGATGGGTGCAGTGACTTGCCCAAGATCACACAGCTAGCACAAGGCAGAGCAGAAAACGGCACTTGAAGTTTCTGAGGCTAAATTCAGTATTCTCCACATTTCCCATGCTGCTTCCCAGGAAGTTCCACAGAGATCTGGTAGGAAAAGGCATTTCTACTTGTATTCCTCCCCGTTCTTTATTTAGTGCTTGGATTCCCATGAACGTCACTCTAAGTGTCCTGCACTGATTAAGCACATGAAGCTGCTGACCCTCAAATAAACCAGCATGGTTTGCTGTGTATCTGCATCTGCATGGGGGAGACAGCAGAGCCACGCTGGGAAGGGAGCCAACTCTGGGGCCAAACTGGGTGGGTTGAAATCCTCAATGCATGGCTGACCAGCTATGTGAGCTTCAGTATGTTACTTAACCTCTGATCAGTGTATGAGAAGCATGTAGCCCGGTGCCAAGGACATGATAGAAGTTCACTAACTGATACATATTTCACTCTTATTGAGTCTTCACCTACCTTCTTTGGGACTATTATCATAAAACGAAAACTACCAACAAGAGGTTGATTGGTATCTTCAATTCCACTCTCTTCTTTCAAAAAAAAAAAGTCACAAATACATAAACAGAGTGAACACCTTGTATGTACATGCTCATGGGTCTGGCTAATGAGTCTATCTGGTTGTGCACAGCCTCCACATGCTGAAATAATCCATCCTAGCCCTTAAGCCAAGCTACAATTTAAAAATTTAATAAATGGCACTCATCCTCTAATCTCTTCCTATATGTGATTGACAAGCATCAGTGGAAGCATCTTGTGGAAGTTACTGTTTTGGAAAGCCGGGGTAAGTGGGCTGAAAGCCAAAATTACCTGAACAGCTTGAATTCCTGGAATTTATTTCCAAGCTAGTGAAAATAATCAGTTATCAAGGGCTCCCCCTACTGGCACCAAAAAACAAAGGCTAAAATTTAAAGTAGGTAACATTTATGCATAGTAGAGTATTGTGTCCCTTTCTTCTTCTGTTAAAGCTCCCACAACAAAAAGGAATATAAGACTTACTTCAAACTATTTGTCTTTCTGGGGGATGGAAGTTCATGACTTAGAGATCCAAATTTCCTCACAACGGGACACTGAAAATACATGCGTATAGACAAAAGCTCACACAGGGGATTCAAAGATTGGGGAAGAGGCTTAACATCATGTTAAATGGGAAAGAGCTGAAGGAAATGAGGGTGGCTCAGTAGAGACAGGACCGAGGGGTAGGGAGCTGGAATGGTATCTGACAGGCTAGCATGGGAGCATGATCAGCCTTATGCCATGTGGCCCCACTAGAGGGTGGAGTTATCAGAGAACAGATTTTATCTCACAGAAATGAAGAACATTTTAATAATGAGCACTATCATACATAAGGAACTACAAAGGGCAGGGGTGAAGGATCATCACTGACTGTGAGTGGGCAGAGAGAACTAAACTGGATTATATTTAGGATTTTAGTTCTAAAATCCTGAGAAAGTATGTTAAAACTCCAAACAACTGAATAGTCCTGTTGCTAGAAGGCTGGATGGTATCATCCTCAGACTATTTTTTCAATATTAAATATCAACATTTTGTGCTTCAAGCCCTGATTTAGTCTCAAAATAATTTTAAGAAAAAAGACATCAAAATCAAAATAAAGGGTAGATCATACCAATGTCAACTTCCTAGTTTTAACATTATACTACAATTTATATAAGTTACCATAGGAAGAAGCTATGTGAAGGGTATACACGGCCTCTACACTATTTTTTGCACCTTCCTGTGAATCTATAATTATCTCAAAATAGAGATCTTTTAAAAATCAAATTAAAGATACTTCCCCCGAGAGGTTCTAAGTAACCTCCAAGACAATCCAGTTTGGTTCAAGAGTGCAGTGTCATCAGCCACAAATGACTCTGTGCAAGTATCTACAAGCAGCAGGGCTCATTTCAAAACCATGATCAATCAGCTATTAAGATTTACAATTGTGATTAGGAAAGCCTGTCATGTTGACAGGTGTCTAATTTGGTTATGCTGATCGTAAATCTTCAGTTATCTCAGATCACATCATCAAAATCACCTATAGGCAATACATTCTTACAACTGCTTCCTACATCATACTACACAGGAACCATGTACAGACTTAATTACTATATTTATCTAACTGTAACACAATAATGCACTCATATCTTCCTCCTCCCCTATGACTTACAACAAGAACTGCATCTTGTTTTTATCTCATTTTATCACCAAAACCTAACCCACGGTAGGTTTTCAGTAAATACTCATAGAATAAATAAGAAATAAACCAGTAATTATTTTCTTGGACTTCTGGGACTTTCTTTGACTTTCTTTTCTGATACAAAGACAGCCAAAGAAACATCAGAGTCCTTACTTTGGAATCAGGATTAAATATATGTATACTATATACATACATATGTGTGTATGACAAAGTCTATAAAACACAGGGGTTTAATCTCTAAAGATCTTTATAACCACTTGTTTTTGATCTGTTAGATTCCTAAGACATTGTTAATTCAGTGTGATTTCTTTTTTTTAAGAATTTATTTATTTACTTGACAGAGAGCACAAGCAGGGGGAGTGGCAGGCAGACAGAATGGGAGAAGCAGGCCCCCTGCAGGGAGCCCAACATGACACTTGATCCCAGGACCCTGGGATCATGACCTGAGCCGAAGGCATATGTTTAACCAACTGAGCCACCCAGGTGCCCCAACTCCGTTTGATTTATAATAAAATAGAGAGGTCAAGCTTTTCCAGACAGGAAAACCAATACAAACTGTTGAACAGAACCCCTGAGCTTGTAAGTTCCTGCTAGAATGATCTCTGCCCAGTTTTACCAAGTGCCAAAAACAATCCACTTCTTTCAGAAATCACTGAGATATCATCACCTTTGGATTCTTCAATATTAACCAAATGAAAAGCATACGGAAATTTCTCTAAATTTCTCTAAATCTGTTTATTAAAAATGTTTTTCAAATAAATATTTTGAACAACCATAATCAATCAAAGCAGTGAGATCACAAAGTGTTGCTTCTTTCTGCAAAGAAGGCACATCATTAGCTTGTATAGTTAATGCAACAGCCACATCCAAAGTCAATTAGGCTGTTTTAAACACATGATGGACGCTACTTACGATCCCAGAGACACCAAGGACTCCTCAGGGTCAGTCATCTGAACAGGCTCTGAAGCCGGCTTGATCCTTAGAACCTCTGCAAAGCCATCGCCAAACCAGCAAGTGATGTGCGCTATGTCTACAGTAAAGTAGAAAAGGCGGTCCTGGCAGAGCTTCCGTCGATATACAGACCGAGGGTCAGCTGACAACACAGCCTCAATGGCATGCCTTGCTTCCTCTGCTGATTGAAAATATTTAAATGAAGGCTGACTGCCATCTGCAATGAAAAGAATACAGCTTAATGCTGAAAATCATGCAGGTCAAATTTCATTACAGTGAACTTCAATGTGGAGTTTGGTTGGTTCCTTGACGATCACTTGAAATGAACTGGGTTTGGCAATCTACTCAGTTGTTACAGAGCATGTCACTTTCAAGTGGTATTTACTATCATTAAACCTATGCGTACCCCAAATTGTCATTTGCTGAACAAAATCTTCTATGTTCAATGTCGACTTTAATTTGATTCCTCGTCATTTTCTTCTCAGAATGGAGTAGTAATTAAGTCTGTACAGGGTCAGGGAAATGCATGACAGTCCCAGCACTCTCAGAAAGCCACAAGAAAGACGACTAAACCCACATAGGCCCAAAGCACCAGCTGTAGGCAAGGCACGGTGTCTCAGAGAGCTGGTATCACAGCCCTACTTAAAAGTAACACCACATTCCCTAAGGAACAAGGAAATGGGACAGTCCTTCTGAAGGAAGGTACTATGAGAAAGTTAAATACCATGACTAGCGAACAGGCCACCCCAAACCACCAAGGTGCATATTTCAGGTAAACAGATATACACCCTGTTAAGTGGCAAAGCTTCCTACATATCATCATGAATGTATTTTAATTTCTAAAAATACAGTATGTACAAAACTTAAATAAAAAATTAACTGTGACTTAATTTTTAATAGCTACAATATAAAATACATCCAAATGAAGGCCAGGTATGTGTTTTAAATAATGTTGTTCTTGTTCAAAATAGCATCTGCAGTGGTGGTGGATCTTTATTCTTCTGAAAGTAAATTCAGTTTTTAGAAAACAGCCAAAAATCACTTGGGTTATATCCAGTAAGTTCGTAAATAAAGCCATGAAGTTCAATCTTTGGTCAAAAACCAAGGACTAATTCAAGTGTTGATCACATGGAATCCTTAAAAAAAACAAAAAACAAAAAACAAAAAATCCCCACCAAGGACCAAGTATGCAGTGCTAAGATTCTTTTATTGCATGGCTCATGAAATGACTCCAGGGCCACTCAAAAAAGAGGAATTCCAAAAACATCACACTCTTCAGTAACAGTGCAATTGGTAAAAGTTCCAGGCCTTGGCGTGGCTGTTCATTTGTAATAGGTGCCCTTCCCTCACTTCTCTGCCTACTTAATTCTTCCAGACTCAGCTCAAATACTTTTTCCTCCAGGAAGCCTTCCCAGATTTCCTCCCTGCTCCCCAAGTCATAATCCTTCTCCCCCTCATGTGCCCACAAGCACTCCATTCCAGCGCCAATCCCCCCACCCCTACACCAACACACCGCCACCATTTCAGTATCTTTTATCTTTTCTAGACTCTAAACCTTCTGAGGTCATTTCTTATTTCTATATTAACTCCAAATTCTGCTGGTCTCAATCAGTCCCTGTTTTATAGTTACATTTCATAATTTCTCTTTTTAACGATTTTTTTGAATCAACAAGGCACATTATAACCTCTCAAGACACACAGCACTATAGTTTGAAAAAGATAAATCTTTCCAAAGTAGGAAGCATTCACTGATAACTGCAGGACAAAGGGTAAGTATAAATATAAAGTATCTTCTAGGCGGCACTGCTTTCTTTGTTCTATCACAAAAACCTTTTAAAACTGACCTTCCTCCTCCCATCAACTGTATACAATGATGAAACAACTTCATAAACAAAACTTTTTAAATAAAGAGGTCAATTTAAAAATCAAATGCTTTGTTTAAACATAAAGCCTTTGGAAAGAATGAGAAACACACTGTGGAGTGGCAGATGAAATAAGACATATCCCTGGCAACTAACTGGCTACTTCTTACTGGACTCACTGCAGCCACCTTCCTTCATTCTAGATTGCTGCCTCGGGCTGCGAAAACCAGGTTACAGTGTCTGTTAAAAACCATGTGTTAAAGTACACAAGCTCCAAGTAAAAGCCCGGTGGCCTCTCTTCTACAGGGAAGGGCAGGTCTCTAGTGCTAAGACTTGTTATGGGGACAGTTACTGTGCTAAGAGACTCTTCCCTTTTTTAGAAATTTCTCTCTAGGCTCTGTGCCATAGGGAGAGCTATCAGCTACCTGATAGTTAGAATAAGATGGGATACGTCTCTAGTCAGATAGTAAAACAGATGAAAAAACTTAACCCAAGTATAGAACAAGCACAATTTAGCTTCTGAATGCTGTTTGAAAACTCCAGGAACTACTGTAACAGATTGACAAGAGGCCCTCAATCATGAGCCACCTCGTGAGGCAGCAACCATTCTCAGCAAACACTTTACTGAGTGTCTGGGACTCACTGTGCTGAACAAGGCGCATCGTCAGATGGTGCTGCTGCCCAAATATAATTTTACATTTCTTACCACCAGTCATACTGACAAACACTCCATATAACTGCCCTCAGAAATACCAAATTTGGCTAAAGCTCTCATTCCGAAACAAGAGACAGAAAGTACCTGGTCCACTTTCTGAACTGAGGCGCTCAAGGTCCATCTCTGCATGAGGGGTGAAGCGGACTTCCAAGGTGGCCACAGGGGCCTCTCTCACCCAGGCTGGGACCACGCTGCGGCGGGCTGCACCGGCCATGCTGGAAGGGCAGGGGGGAGCCACGGGTGGCATCTCTGCACTATTTCCTTGTGTGATCACTGCTTCTTTCCCTCTCTTTAGCCTCTTTTCTGTACCTTCCTCTGAAAAGCTCTTCTCAAGGCAATATGAGCCAATTTGTTCTTCTGCCACATTCAGACTCTGATCACGTCTTGATTCTAAACCCAAATCTGCTGCTATGTCCCTGTGCTGAGGGGAGTTTTGCCGGATTTTTGCTGAGTTATCATGTTTCATATAGTTCTCTCCTGAAGTTCTGTCTTCAGGACATTTAGGTTTCTCCTTAGTGTGACTACAAGCTTGTGGTTTATCACACCTTGAGAGCTGTCGCTGGTCACAGCTGTCAGTCTTGCCATTAGACCGGGATGTGTTTTGCGGTTTATATTGGTTATTCTGTAAATTAAGGTCCTGTAGGGACTCAATCAAATTTTGTGGCGAGTCATACTCAGCTATGTAGGGCTTTATGTCTAGGACAGGTGTGCCATGAATCATGTCAATTCCAGAAAGATATATAGCTCCACCTATAATGTGAAAAACACATCCTCTTAGTAATCTTAACAATGAAGAACAGTGAAAACAATTAAGAACCAACACCATCTGCCTATGCCTCACCAAGCTTAACTCACAATTCTCTTACACACCAGGCTCTCTTATACCTGGTGCCAACACACCCTTTTCGTTCTACCTGGAAACCCATCCTCTTCTTCACCTGTCGAACTTCTACATGCGCTTTAAGGCTCTTCTATAATACCTCTTCTACAGAGCCTTTCTGGCTCTTCCACACTGAAGCATTCTTTCCCCTGGGTTCCACAGAGAAACCTATGTACAAACCTCTACTACAGCCCATTTCACATGGTCTGGCAATGACCTAGTTGGTCTTTCTCCCTAGACAGTGAGTAGGCCCTTGAGCACTGACTCATCTTTGCATCACTGGGACTTCTAACTCTGTTCCAGGCACATCAGAGTCCTCAATATATCTCTGTGGAATCAATGAGGATTTCCACTGTGGCAAACAGACACTAAGGTGGCCTCCAGAATGCCCACTTGCTGGTGTTGACACCCTTTGATAATCTCCATCTTTTGAGTATGACATGGTATCACTCTAGTGACTATGTTACCTTATCTGAGACTCCTGTACCTGTAGGCAGATTCGCTCGAGAGATTCTCCTTGTGGGCTTGATGAAGTAAGCAACCACACTGGGAAAGCCCATGTGGTAAGGCACTGCAGGAGCCTCTAGGAGCTGAGAGCAGCCACCAGCCAACACCCAGCAAGCAGTTGTGGCTCTCAGTCCCACAACTACAAGGAAGTGAATTCTGCCAACAACCTGAGGGAGGCTGGAAGCAAATTCTTCCACAGTTGAGCTTCCACGTAAGAACTCATCCCAGATGACACCCAATTTGCAGCCTGGTAAGATCCTAAGCAGAGGACTGGCAAAGCTGTTCCCATACTTGTAAACTCATTATTATGAAACATAATAATATTTCAAAAAGATAATAAATGGGTATTTTTTAAACCGATTAAGTAGGGGCGCCTGGGTGGCTCAGTCAGTTAAGTGTCTGCCTTCGGCTCAGGTCATGATCCCAGAGTCCTGGGATCGAGCTCCACATCATCCAGCTCCCTGCTCAGCAGGGAGTCTGCTTCTCCCTCTCCCTTTGCCCCTCCCCTTCCACTAGTGCTCTGTCTCTCACTTTCTCTCAAATAAATAAAATCTTTAAAAATAAATAAATAAATAAACTAATTAAGTGTGTGGCAATTTGTTACACAGCAATGGAAATCTAATACATCCATCAAGACTCAAACAATTAAGCAGAACATAAGTCACCATTGCCAAATATTAAGGACAGGTCTTTTGTCTCACTTATACAGCTGCATGTCCAGTTCCTGCTACTGGTGCAGAGTCTACTAACTTGATTCTTGGGAAATTGGCCAAATGAGAATCAAAAAATTATATGTGATCACATTCTCTGTCTCCATTTTAGAAAACAAGACTAACAAAGGACTCTGATTTCTAAAACATGCTCACTGTGAATGAGCCTGGAACTTTGGAATAATGACTTTGGACTTCCTAACTAATGGATATGCCTTAACAATGTCTGCAGAAGGAAGTATTGTAGCATATGTAAAAGTTCATGGGATTTAGAGTTATACAACCACCTGGCTGGATGCTATTAGGTAATATTATCAAACATCAAAGAGCCTCAGCTCCCTCATCCATAAAAGGAGGACTGCTATCCTTTCAAACCCAAAGAGCCGCTGACAGATAACATACATAAATGCTTTTTATAAACTGTAAAGCACCATACAAACAGTAGTAGTCACCATAACACTTATTTGTTAAGAATGTCTATAGTGTTATTGCGTTTGCCTCTTACATTTCTAATTTGTTTACCACTATACCCTCAGCACCTAAAACAATGCCTGGCACATATACAGTGCTCAGAAAATATGTGTGGGTTGCACATATGATCATAAAATGTTTAGTACTGTTACCCAAGCTGGTTGGTCATCACAAACTGATAAAGCTCAAGTTGGACTGGCTACAGAATTTTCCTGGAAAATCTATCCAAGGCTAGGCTGAATACAACCCAGGGGAGGTAGTTCAAGTTCTGGCAAAAAACAAGCAAAATAACTGGTCTTACCTATTTAGCACTAAGTAACCTGAAAAGTACTCTTAGAGCTTTTGTCTCATAAGATCCTTAAAATACTATGGAGTCCCAGAGAGGGCAGGTCCTACTCCTTTGTCCACTTTACAAACAAGCAAGCTAAAGCCTGGAATGGTCTCCTGACTCCCAGTCTTCTGTCTCTCCAACAAATGTGCTTATTAGGTCAGAGTGATTCAAGAACAGGATGCCTTACTAACAAACAAAGCAAACAAACCAAAACTTAAAGATACAGAGAACAGATCAGTGGTTGCCAGAGGGAACAGAGTAGGGAGATAGGTGAAATGGGTAAAGGGGTTCAAGAGGTACAAACTCCCAATTATAAAATAAGTCATGGCGATATAATGTACAACACAGTGACTACAGTCAATAATACTGTACTGTATATTTGAAAGTTGTTGAGAGTAGATCTTGAAAGTTCATACCATAAGAAAAAAAATTTTTAACTATATGGTGACAAATGATATCTAGACTTATTGTGGTGATCATTTCACAATGTATATAAATACTAAACATACTGTACACTTGAAACTAATATGTCAATTATACTTAAAAAAAAAAAAAGAATGGGATGCTTCCAAAGAATGGGACACCTGGGTGGCTCAGTCGGTTAAGTGTCTGCCTTCCTGCCTTCGGCTCAGGTCATGATCCCAGGGCCCTGGGATCAAGTCCCACATCGGGCTCCTTGCTCAGTGAGGAGCCTGCTTCTCCCTCTGCCTGCCGCTCTCTCTGCTTGTGCTCTGTCTCTCTCTCTCTGTCTCAAATAAAAAAAAAAAAAAAAAAAAAAAAAAAAAAGAATGTATGGCTCAGTAAGTAGGCTGTATCTGAATACACAGGTAAAACTAACCTGGTATTCTACACAGGTACTTCCACAATCTGACAGGTGTTTAAATGTTATTATAGTGAGATTCATTGCAGACCCTCTGACACATCAGAGTTAACAACTGTACTACAGCCACAGTGCATGTCCATTTCCTCAAAGGTGCAAGGAAGAAAGAATACAACACCACCCTATGTGTTTACCGTATCTACACATACAACCAGTTACTGTGTGTTAATTCTGAAAGTGTCCAATTATTTTTGAATAATTTTGTATTTATTGTATTCCAAGTCAGAGAAAATTTGGTTACTAATTTAATGATTATGAAATTATACCTTATTTTTAAATAATGTAATAGTTTCTAATATATGTGATGATATAATTAAACTCTGAACATCCTATGAGAGCTGATTTCAAAGGGTAACATTCTTTTAGTCATTTCAGGTTCTTCCATGCCTGGTAGTTCTCAGGGGTTAACACCATTGGTACTCATCTGAATAACAGCCAGTGAATACTATGTTTGTTTTATAAGACTTCTTTTAGATAAGGAAAAAAAAAGATAAAAGTAGAAATGAAATTTGTTACCTTCTATCTTTTCCAGCTTGGCCAGAGTCAGTCCTATTGCATTGGGACGATGTGGGCTCCTTGTGGAGAAAACTCCAGTCTTTGCACCATTCAGCCTAGGAGGCTGCACTTTTGCCTTACAGCTCAAATGACCATTTTTGTGAAAGACAAACAAAATCCTATTGAAAATAAACCAAACCACCAAGTAAGAAAAGAACACTAGTTAATTTATCATAATGATTTGATGGTGAAAAAAATTTAATCTTTAATCCCACAAATTAAAGCTGAAAGAATGCTTTTAACGGTATTACAATGTAATCAGTGGGGGGAAAAAAATGTCATTCTCATTCCTTGAAGGAAGGCAGAGTCTTATCTCTATATCCTTTGCCCCTAACACAATTACTGGCACATGGTAGGAACTTTACAAATGTTTGTCAAGTGCCTGAATAAGCAGTATTTATGAAGTAAGAGCCTGGGCTGCTATTTGCCAGGCAGTCTACTAGACATTTTTATACTCATTTAACTCTCTTAACAAGCCTAAGATTTATCCCCCAATTTAAGAATGAGGAAATCCAGGCTCAGAAATGTTAAATAACTTGACTGGGTCTTCCTAAGTAAGACACAAAAGCAGGAAGCCATGAAGAGAAACAGTAACAGATTTGAACTCATTAAATCATTAAATTTATGACTACAAAATGTCATCCCAGGAGAAAATGTTTGCTACATGTACAATGGACTGTTCCTACAAATCACAAAGTAAAGGGCAACTCATAAGAAATTAAGCAAAGAACATGAATTGACAAAAGAGTAAGAAATAGTAGCAACCAAATGAAAAGATGTTGAACCTCACTAATAATTAAGAAATTTAACTGAAAAATAAAATATTGTTTTTCTCAGGGCACCTGGGTGGCTTAGTTGGTTGAGCATCTGACTCTTGATTTCAGCTCAGGTCATGATCTCAGGGTGGTGAGATCAATCCCTGCTTGGGATTCTCTCCCTCTGCCCCTCTCCCCATGTGTGTGCATGCTCACTCTCTCTCTCAAATGAGTAAATAAATAAAATTTTAAAAGTATATTGTTTTTCCGTCCAACAAAAATGCAGAAAAACTTTAACATTTAATGTTAGCAAGAACGTAGGAAACAGGTCATTTTCATACACTTATGATATATAAATTAAGCTTTTTAGAGCACAATTTGGCAGTAGCTCTCCAAAATTATAAATACGCACACCCTCTAGCTCAATATCATCATTTCTGATACCTACTTGTAAAAATGTACAGGTGCCAAGAATTGTGTCTAAGAAGGTTTGCTACAGCATTACTGCAATAGCAAAATCCATTAACAAGAGATATACCATGGTCAAATCCTGGTCTATCTGTATTTCGCAATAAGAGACAGCCATTAAAGCAAAAAAGATAAATCTGTATGTACTGTCATGATATACACTGTTAAACGAAGAAAACATATTCCATTGTTTAAAACAAACACCTAATCCCAATGTGTATGTTTATGCTTCTCTATTAAAAAAGAAAAAGAAAAGGCAAGGTAGGATATACACCAAGCTATTAACAATAAAAATCTCTGAAGAGTGTTGGCGGTGAGAATGAGTGAGAAGAAAAATAGGAAGGATACAAAAATCTCTTTATATAGATCTGGACCCATTTTTTTATATCAGCCATGTTTTTAATTTAATTAATTTAACCAAGATCATACAAACTAGGTCAGACACATGTTGTTTCTACTCTACCCACATCTCCAAATCAACAAAAACATAAGCTATTTCAGAATAAATACTTAATTTTAGGTCTTCACCAGTAAAATTAGACCAAGTCATACTGGTGATGCTGGAGTGAGGAAAAATGGACAGAGACAGAATTGCAAGTGACAGTAACACTAATATAACACAGGTACTAATATCGGTAACACTTTATTGAGAGTATCCAGATTTCTAAAGTCTCTTTTGCCTCTTAGGAAGAAAAAACTTAATTGTTCATGGGTCTAGAGCAGAGTCTGCAAACTTTTTCTGTAAAGGGTCACACAGTAAATATTTGAGGGTTTGCAGGCCAACCAGTCTCTGTTGTAACTACTCAACTCTGCCACTGTACCACAAAAGCAGCCATACACAATACATAGATGAACGGGAGTGGCTGTGTTCCCATAAACTTATTTACAAAGATGGGAGGTAGATGGATTTGGTCCACGGGCTGTAGCTTCCTGACCCCTGGTCCAGAAGGTAGAATAATGACCCACAGGCAGAATCGAGATCTACAGATTTCAGCTCAATAGAAGGCATTCCTCACAATCAGAACCAACTGCAAATGGGGCGCCTGAGTGGCTCAGTCATTAAGCGTCTGTCTTTGGCTCAGGTCATGATCCCAGGATCCTGGGATCGAGCCCCGCATCAGGCTCCCTGCTCAGCAGGAAGCCTGCTTCTCCCTCTCCCACTCCCCCTGCTTGTGTTCCCTCTCTTGCTGTGTCTCTATCAAATAAATAAATAAAATATTAAAAAAAAAAAAAAGAACCAACTGCAAATGGAACGTGCACCCTCAGTGGATCCCAAGCTTCCATGAGGGCATCCAAGTTATGCATACAGTCATGTGTGTGAATTTGGTACAGGAACTCCACGCAATAGTAAGTGTGGTCTGGATGACAGACTCCAAGGCTGCCTTCAACTGGAGTACTTTACTCAAGGGCAAGTTCTGACCCAAAGAACCACTTCTAACTATAAAACAACTTACCAAACATGAGAAAACTGTTCTAAGCCCATCAAGGAATGTTCAGGATTATTAAAGATGCTCTTTCTAATTCTCAAACAAGCCCTCGAATGGGTACAAATAGATGGCTGCCTTGGAGTACCATTCTTGGCTGAGAAACAGGATTCCAAGTAGCCAATTGGTTCAGTTAAAAGATTCCCTACAGAAGAAAAGTAGGTAAGAAATCATTAGTCAAAATGTCAAATAAAGATGTGGGAAAACATGTTTTCTTTAATGCACTGATTTCATAGTTTTAACATCTACCAAGTGTTATGCAACTATTAAAAATGATTCACATATCATGAAAACATATAAATATCTTCAACACTACACACACATTATTATATCCCTTTAGATAGCCAAAAAGAGTGCAGGTCTAAGAAAAACAGGGGACATTCTCAGAAGTTCTACTATGACCATAATTCAAATTCTATGTTACCATTACCAAAGTATGTGACTTTGGTCAGGGCTAAAAGGGTATTTAAAATAGAGGGAATTGGGGCACCTGGGTGGCTAAGTTGGTTAAGTGTCTCAACTCTTGCTTTCTGCTGAGGTCATGATCTCAGGGTTGTGAGATCAAGCCCCAAGTTGGGCTCTGTGCCGAGCATGGAGTCTGCTTGAGATTCTCTCCCTCTGCCCCTCCCCCTGCTCATGCTTGTGCACATGAGCTCTCTCTCTCTAAAGAATAAATTAATTATTTTTAAAATATTTTAAAATAAAACAGAGGGAATAACATGCACAAAATTAAATGAGAAGTGTCATAGCACATGCAGGGAACAAGCTATTTTGATTGGCTGGAGTGTGAATGATAAGGCAAAGAATAATGAAAGATAAGGAGACAGAGGTTGTATACAGACATCCTCATGCTTTTCTAAAGTTTGCATTAAGCCACTGTGTGTTTGTGAAAAGACCTACATCAGTACCTGTTTTTGCTAATCAAAAGAAATCCAAAGAGAATGCCTGCTTTTACCAAAAAAAAGGGCAAAAGTGAAAAGTGTTCAGCATTTGTTCTGCAGCAAACTGTTATAGATGCAGGGTGCCCCCCAAGTAGTGAGATCAGCCCCACCCAGGTCCTTCCCCAGGAACTACACTCAGCATCTGAGCATCAAGCCACCAGAGCTTTGAACTGTGTCTGTGAGGATCTGTGCTTTATTTTGACTTATTTTGTGCATCTACTAGCGATATGTGTCCTGAAGTAACAGAAAAGCCTGAGAGGTTATTTTTTGGGCCTGGGAACACTCAACAATTTTTCCACATAAATTAATGGTAATTGCTTCTTCGCATTATGCCATTTAAGCTTATGACAAATTTCATAGGAATGATCTACTTTCAGACAGTGGGGAAAACATGTCCAAATAAGGATGCATTCAATTAAAAACAGACATATGAAACAAAGTAGTTTAAGCAATAAAGGGAGTGCATGGGATCATAATCATACTACTAAAATATCTACAGACAGAAGAGATTTCAGGTTAGGCTTGGTCTAGTAGCTCTCTGCCCTGAGAATGTAGGCTCCATGTGGGTAGTGTTTCTATCTTTTCTCCTGCTATGTTCACGATCTAGTACATTGCATGCAAGGGGGTAGGTACTCAAAAAATTCATGTTACATGGAAAAAAAGGATGGTTTAAACTGATTGAAATGGAAAGTGAAAAATTGAAAGAATATAATCCCATTTATGAAAGTTTGCTTATACATTTACCTATTTAAATATGTACCTATATATGTTTAGAAAGCTATTTGGAAGGATATTCACCAAAATGTTAACATTTTGGTAAAATGGATGTGGTGATATGGTAAAAACAGAGTGAGATTTTTGGATTATTTTTATATTTAACTTTGTAATTTGTATAATATTTGAAATTTTTACAATAATCAGAAATCCTTTTTCCTTCCTAAATAGTAACTCCTTTCAAAAGAAGAAAAGCCAAGCAGCACCAATACAGGTTTAACGTCCAAGGTATCCACAACTAGCATTTTGAATTTACAAATAACTTTTTTTTTCACATCTCATGAAAACTTTACTTCTTTTTTTTTTTTTTTTAAGATTTTATTTATTTATTTGAGAGAGAGAATGAGAGACAGAGAGCACGAGAGGGAAGAGGGTCAGAGGGAGAAGCAGACTCCCTGCCGAGCAGGGAGCCCGATGCGGGACTCGATCCCGGGACTCCAGGATCATGACCTGAGCCGAAGGCAGTCGCTTAACCAACTGAGCCACCCAGGCGCCCCGAAAACTTTACTTCTTTTAAGAGATGATATACAGACACTCTAGACCATCATTTTATTTCCAGCTTCCATTAATTAAGTCTATCCTACCAGCACAGGTGGTAAGATTATAGGCCTGGTGTTGTCCCTCACAGCACCTTTAGTTACTCTTCACTTATTAAAACTGTATTATTGGCTACATATAAAATATTACATGTAATAAATGTATAATAGAGCATAATACTATGAAATCCTGTGTACCCACCACCCATTCCAAGAACTAGAGCTTTACCAACAAAATATATCTTTTTATGTTGCTTCTCTCCTATGGCAAACCCATCCTTTCCCCCTGAGATAAACAAGTGCCTGAATGGGATCTTTATCACTCACTTCCTTTAATATAATTTTATCACATGCATATGCATGCCTATATAATACTTCATTTATTTTGTCTTTGAACTCCATAAAAACTGGTATCAAACTGCATGTTATCTTCTCAGACTTGCTTTTTCTCTCAAGATTACGATTCTAAGACCCTTCCATACTGTGTATGTTTTTGATGACTTTAAATTTTTTCCAAATATGTTTACAGGCATTCTTTTGTTTATCCTCACCCATGTTCCTGTGGAATAAAGACAGTAAATACCTTAAAGATGAGGAAACTGAGGCCAAACAATTCTGGTGTTCATTAAAATGCCATAAAGAAAAATGGCCAAAAAAGAACCCCTAACCTAATAAGATGGGATCCCTGTGTCTTGTTTTCATTTGTTTAACAAACACTCCAATATCATACAATTGCCAGACATTGAGCTAAGTTTGAATAAAAGAAACAACAAGAACTCTTATCACAGTGGAATTAACGGTTGGGGAGAGTCTCACAATATGTTTCAATATCATGGGAAAAATATGTAAAGCACCTAGTACCACACAAAGTGCTCAGCAAAAAGTGGTTTTCCAAGCTCTTACTTAGGCTTTTCCCTCATTTTAACAATACTACAATTGTACTAACTGTGTAATAAGAGAAAAGCCAACAAGTTATTAATGCTGAGTTTTTGTACACAAAGTTTATCTGTATGTCTTAGTGCTGACAGAAAGTTCAGGTCCTTTTGACCCTCCTGCCGGGACTGTAAAATATAATTCATGTCCCTAGCACAGGTCCCTCCCTTTGTTAAAATACTCTACACCAATACTCCAGACTCTGTGTTCCTTAATCTTATGCTACCCTCTAACTAAATTTTCCATGTTTCCCACACTGTTAACAGACATTATATATATATTTTTTAAGATTTTATTTATTTATTTGACAGAGAGAGAGAGAGCAAGTACAAGCAGGGGGAACAGCAGGCAGGGGAGAAGCAGCTCCCCACTGAGCAAGGAGCCCTTTGTGGGGCTCGATCCAAGGACCCTGGGATCATGACCCGAGTTGAAGGCAGCCGCTTAACTCACTGAGCCACCTGGTATTCAAGGTTCTCCACAATCTGAATCCAATCAACCTTCTTGTACCATCCAGTATTTCAAACCTATAGCTCCCCAATCTGGTGCTATGTAATAGACCTCTGAGCCCTGCTCCTTCCTGCCTGTCAAACTATTAGGCCTGGAATCTAGCACCGTGCAACAATTTTTAAATGAGCACAACCTTTGACAAGTAACAGTAATTTCAGTAAATTTAATCTAAGTTAAACATAACACGCACAAACATTTTAGTCTTAAGAATTTTCTTCACAACAGTGAAAACTGGCAGTAACTTAAATGCCCAACAATAGGGAACTGGTTAGTTAGAACACATCTCTAAAGCAAAATAATGTGCAATCCCTTAAAACTATTAACGGCCATAGATTTATATGAAACTTAAGTTTTAGAAAGAAGTTATGAAACAGTGGGGTCACATAATCCATTTTTCTAGCGTGCATGCACTGAAACAAGCATGGAAGGTAGGCACCAGGATACTAGCAGTGCTTTTCTCTGGGTGATGGCAGACATTTTCTTCCATTTGTGTCTTCTAATTTCTAAAGTTAATATTCCGCTCTATATAATGAGGTGAAAATAAACTCATGCCCATCTTTCCAGGCCCAGTTTAAAAAGATTTCCTGTCTCTTCCCTTCGCCCCAGAACTTTTCCACATCTCCCGCCTCGCTTCCTACAGCACAGGATGCCTCTCTCTCGGGGGTATTTATTAACTCCTAACCCGCCTAACACCAGCGTTCACATCCTATCTCTCCTACATGAGCAAGAACTCTGCGAGAAAGGCTGTTACACTGCACGTGGTTGTTCCAGCCACAGTGCCAGGCCCAACCCAACCGCGGCTTCCAAGAACAGAACAGGAGATGACATCATTCCGCTCGCCTCAGCACAATCACGTGGTCGCAGGTGCACGTGATCCGTGGCTTCGCAATAAGTAGAATGACGCCCTCCGGTTCAAGTTCTCGCATTTTACATCCCTCTCTACAGTCAGGTCAGCGGCCTGAGCCTAGGCCTCTTTTGAGTGCGGAACCGCGGGTTTCTCAGAAATTACCTGTTTCCAGAGCCGGCTTCACGCACCCGCACGGGGTCGCTGTGGGCTGAGGCCCCGGCTCCTCCAAGACGCGCATGGCTACTACTCACTGAGGTGTCGACTCGACGCGACAGGCCTTCCGCTTCCGGTCTCCGAGCCTGGTGCCTGCGCAGTAGCCGCCCTGGCGGGGTGGTGCGGGTCCGGGGCCTGGCGCATGCGCGGGGAGTGGGCCGCGCTCTAGGTGGGCGCAGCTGGTGGCACCAGTAGGCTTTCGATTTCCATTTCCCGGCCTCGGTTCCTCTCCCGGACCTGGCTCGCTGTTCCCTGCCGCTGACCCGCTGCGATTCCCTGCCAGTCAGCGACTCAGAATTACCGCGCTTGCGGGGCGCCTGGGTGGCTCAGCCGGTTGGGCGGCTGCCTTCGGCTCAGGTCATGATCCCAGGGTCCTGGGATCGAGTCCCGCATCGGGCTCCCTGCTCAGTAGGGATCCTGCTTCTCCCTCTCCCTCTGCCTGCCTCTCTGCCTACTTGTACTCTCTCTCTCTAATAAACAAATAAAAAAAAATCTTTAATAAAAAAAAAAATTACCGCGCTTGCGAAGGGGGACACTTCGATGAAGATTTACGCGCTGAGATGTCTCTCTCAAACATTAATATAAACAACCTACGTGTCCAATGAATGACTCTGATTTTTAAAGAAAAAGGATGTGTATATGCAGTTACCACATAGCACAACGATCGGATGTTAGGAAATTAGAAATTCTTGAGTGGTGGGAATGCACATGATTATTTATACTTCTGTGTACTCCCAATTTTTCCACAATAAAAACGATGTTTTGTCAGCAAGGAACCCTAAGTAAGCCTTATTTCACGTCTAATGGATGGGGAGCGTCACACTGGAATAGGGGTTAAGAAGTGGGGACTTCTTTGCGTTCCATACCACGCGGGAACTGAAGCAAGAATGAAATTGAGAGTCAATATGCCATGTACATGGGAGAGATTGTGATCTTTGTTTCTGGGCAGCTATGAAAAGTTGAGAGCCAACAAGAATCCTGTTTTCATCCCATGCGATGACCAGTTATCCTTGCAGCGATACTATCCCTTCACCTACTTACTTGTAAGGTCATCTCTCCCCTATATCAAGTTTCTCTGTACATATAATTCTGTTTCTGGGTTTGTTTTTTTTTTTATCCTGTTTGGGGGGGGGACATATGGCTTGCAATATGAAATATTCAAAAGAGTGGAAGTCCACAGATTTTAAAAGCTCAACCATGAAAATCTGTTGCTAAACCTTTTCATTTGTCATGGAGTTATAGATCACTAGTAGAAAACAACCAGCAACAGCCAAAGATATAAAGAGAGGGTTGTGGTTTAAAACACACACACTTTGGGGCGCCTGGGTGTTTCAGTCAGTTAAGCGTCCGCCTTCCGCTCAGGTCATGATCCCAGGGTCCTGGGATCTAGTCCCATGTAAGGGCTCTGCACTCAGCGGGGAGCCTGCTTCTCCCTCCCCTCCCTGCTCTGGCTCTCTCGCGCTATCTCGGTCTCTCTCCAATAAATAAATAAAATCTTTAAAAAATAATAAAAATAAAACACACACTTTAAAATTGATCAAATTCATATATGTGTTCTCTGTCCTCTGTCCATGAAAATTTGGAAAAGAATGCTATTAATCTGTTTCCAGGAGGAATGCCATTAATCTGTTCTCCTGCAGAAACAAGTTTGAGAACAATTGAGCTATATACACTTTATAAAACTGGGGCCGTAATAGCTGCGTTTGCCACTAGATGGTGGTGTTGAAAGTAATGTCTCGCTTAATTTGTGGACAGACTAGTGCGGAAAATGAGAGGTATTTGCCCTCCTGACCCTAGATATCATTATCTAATGATAATCATGCAAAATAACGCATTACCGAGTGTGACAAGTACTGCGATGCAAAGGAGGTTTGGAAACACTGATGAAGCAGCTTGCTACATCTAAATTTCAAAGGTAAATTTTTTTATGGAAAACAGGAACTTAAATATGTAGCACTTTTATTATGTGATCTGAGAGGCTTTTTATTATCCTTTCTAGAGTTATATCTGATTATTTGTAGTTTATAAGGCAACTGTTTATTTGGAGGTGAGACCTAGGAATCTGCCTTTAAAAAAACCTAAATGATTCTAATATAGGTGGTCATCAGCCTACACTTAGAGAGACACTTCTCCTTATAATGGTTCTTAATCTTCCATTTGGATGAGGGATCCCTTTGAAAAGCAATTAAAGCTTTGGGACTTCTCATGCATAATTTTAGATTTAAAAGCATAGGAATCATGGATTTTTCAGAACCACTATTGTACCTACCATGAGAGGAAAGTAGCACAAAGTAGGGGTAAATGGTGGCAAAACTTTTGATTCTGTGACCTCAAGGTTCAAAGCCAAAGAAGAAAACTGGAAAATGTTTAGATGCACACTGGTGCTTGAATGAGAATAGTGAGAAAGCAGAGGTTGTGTGTATACAGGGAGGGGGGTAAGAGGACAAGCAGAAAGGGTCCTAAGAGGTAAAAAGAGAAGATCCCTCTCCTTCTAATGTACTATATGCCTCATTCCATCTACTTCCCCATCTCTTTCACCTTTATGCCTCTATGCATTGTACATATGCAAGTGTCTTATGGTTCATCTTAATGCAATTCTCTTCGAACATGAAACTTCCATTTACTCTTTTTCCTCTAATGTTGACCCACTCTGGCAGGTGAATTGAGACAAGATTTCTTAAGATTAGACCCAGCATGAAAAGCACTGAAGAAGTTAGATGTGACTTTAGGTGAGTACCCAGCCTCTCTGAGGCTATTCCCTCATCTATAAAACTGGAATGATAATCACTGACCCACCCATTTCACAGACTCCTGTGCAAATCAAATAAGTGTATATGAAAATATAAATTCTGAAGTGCCATCCAGATGTAAATGACTATTATATGGTAATGCTGCCCTCAGTATGTCACTGGACTAATATAATGGGGTGTGAGTAATCCCTGTATGATAAATATATCCCGGGAGGGAAAAAAATGTAATGTTGGTGGGGGGAGTGTGTGCAAACAGGAGGGAAAAGCATTGTAACCTCCCACTCTACCAGTGGCCCTCAACTGTAGCTGCACATTAGAATCACCTGGGGAGCTTTTCAAATACCCTAAATGCAATGTTGTATCCTAGACTGGATCCTGAAGCAGAAAAATGGCATTAGTAGACAACTAATGAAATCCAAATAATGGTAATGTCACTGTCTTAATTTCATAAGCTTTTATGAATGGACCATGGTTACAGAACATGTTAACATTAGGATAAACAGGGTGAGAGGTATAAACCTCTGTACTATCGTTAAAAGTTTTCTATAATTTCTAAAATTATTTCTCAAAAATATTTAAAACAAAAAAGCAATTTAAAAAATTAATATGTATATGCTTGGATGCCATCCTAGACAGGTAAATCAGAATCTCTGGGGAGGTGTCTGGATGGCTGTAATTTTGAAATCTTCCCCAGTGGTTCTAATGGATCCTGAGGGTTGAGAACCTCTTTCTACACTGTGAATGCTTGTGAGAACTGGGATTCTATCTTGTTCTTCGCTGTCTAGCCTAGTACCTAGCACAGTGCCTCTGTACCTATATGGAGAGCTTGTAAAATTGTGTCCTTGCTGAACTAAACCTTTACTTGTAAAAATATCCTTGACTTTGAGTCTTCTGTACTAATAGATGGAAAACTGCAGTTTTCAGATATCTTCCCACCCAGAATAACTCCTATTCCTGCCCCCAGTCTCTTTCATTTTCAGCTAACCCTGACCATTATCACCAGATAGATATTCTTAAAATACTAAAACTGCATCGTTCAAAAGTCTTACTTAGTTCCACATTATCTAACACATACTTCTTAGGTATGAAAAATTCTGTCCACTCTAATAATATGAGATTTTTAGCCTATTAGCCTGCTGTTCCACATGGACCATGCATCAGCTCTAGTTTGCATGTAGTTCTCTTGAATATGTCCTGAATTCATCCTTCTCTGTGTCACATACAATACAATAAAGCCACAATCCTCACCTACAGTACAAATCTTTTCCATCTTTCAAGGCTCCTTGAAGATGTAATTTTTTTAGGTCACTCCAGCAAAAAAAAAAAAAAAAAAAAAAAGTGAGTGTTTCCTCTATTGTATCTACTCTTCAAATGACACTAGCATTTACTATTATTTATATTCTGTTTTATTCCCTTCACAAGACTAGATTAAACCCCTGGTAATGGTGAAACGTGTAATAAAGATTTAATATACATTCTGCACAAATACAATATTTAAAAAGGAAAAAGAGAAAATCAGAATTCAAACACTCCAGTAAACTGTATTCATCACTCATCACCTCAAAATATCTTTGAAGGAGTCCCAGAACAATTGTTAAAATTAACTTTAAAAGCCTACCAAGTCTGAATAAAATGTTGAAGCTATTGTTACATTGATAAGTGAACAAAGTTTACAAGAAAACTATCACTTCCCCAGATTTTAAGTGTTCAGACAATACTTTCTCTACTTTTAAGAATTAACCAAGGAAAAAATAAATTAAAATAAAGGAATTAACCAAAGAAAGGTTTGTTCTTAAGGGGGGATCAGTTATTCAGCCATCCCTTTCCCATTTCTGTCTCTCCCCACCACTATCCTCACCCCAATATACATATACATATACACACACACACACGCACACGCACATGCACACACTGGCAGGATATCATCTACGTAATAGAGCCTGAAAAAACACCTTCGTTCTCCCAGATATAGTCTATACATGAAAAAAAACCCTTAAAATATTAATGAGTATTGTAGAGATCTACAGTGTTTTGAGAAAATTACACACATAATATATTAAGATGTGTATTTTGTTGGACAACTATTGATGGTTGAGCATTGTTAAAACAAAACATAACTAAAGACATCATTTTCTGGATGAATTTCTTGAGGAACGTTTGGAATTGCTGGTGTCTCTGGTTCTTCTGCTTTGGGTTTTTCTCTCACTTCTGTAAAATAAAATATGAAAATAGGTTCAATAAATGGTATTGAAACAATCGACTACCTAGAGAAAAAAAACGCTCTACCTCATACCTTGCACAGAAGCAAATTTCAGATGAATTAAAGATTTAAATATTAAAATACCATAAGTGTTGTAGGAACAATAAAATGTTTTTTATAAT